TTAGTACTTGAATATCTTTTTTCCTCCATAACTGTATATCTATCAAAATCATAAATTGGATATTTTTTCAATATCCTTTTTTTTTTTTAACAATTAACCATTGCTTTTCATTGATAAAATGAGAACCTACACCAAGAGAAAAACAAACAAAACAACAAAAAGAAAGGGGGATAAGCATAAAGAGAAGTCCGAGGAGAGTCACACCGCGACACCCCTGGCGATAGCATTCGCACTTCCATTCCTCTCCTTGTGGACATGGACAAAGTGTACCTCCCTACTACAAAGGCAAAGTTAAATGCGGCCCTAGATATGAACCCACTACCAAGGGATAGAAGAAGGATGTATGCACCACCTAATAACATTGAGAGAATCTCCTTCAATGACCACCCTAAGGCAAGAGTTGTCTGACCCCATGAAAAAAAGGCCCAAAGCTCAACTTCATTGGCTGTGCACGGATGTAGATTACCGTGGTAGGACCAAATAGTACACTCCAAATTATCTCTAAGAAAACCCACATAATTGACAACCCGACCATCTTTCATCACACTGCCATCAAAGTTAAGCTTGACCCAACCAAAGGGTGGAGGAAACCAGCGACTATCCTTCAAGAATTTTCTTTTTTTCGAAGCAAAAAGCATATTAATTTTTTTTTCAACATCAAAATAATCCTTTTTGAAGGATTTTTAGATGCACCTTCTTCTTTTTTGAAAAATGTTATGGAATTTTATTGATCAGAAAAGAATTAAATAAAGCTAAATAAATAAAACATCTGAAATCAGAAGCTATGCAAGTTTGCTCCTCTATTAACACAAGAGTCTGCGGGCTTAATTCTACATTTTAAGGTGTTAACCTTGTATAAACCTTTTTCCAAAATAAACCCTTTCCCTACTGAACTACTAAAAAGAAAATGTAAAAATAAACAAATTTATCAAAGGCAGTCATCATTAACCCAAAGTTAGGAAAAAGTTTACATAAGGTTGCAACCTTAAAATATAGAATCACATATGCACTTCAAAAATCTATCGAAAATATTATTTTAATGTTGGAAAAGCCCTCTAATCAATCATCTTGACAACGAGATCTATGAATATGAAAAAAAAAGTTTTTGAATCTCAGAAATAATGCATCTTGCAACACATTATCTAAACTGTCTATTTTCAAGATTTTCATATATTTATAGATCTACTTGATTTTAACCCATTTTTTAAATTTAAAAGTTTTTGATCAGGTATGAAAATAGATTTTAAGATAATACTATGAAATTTTTACAACAAAATTGTATGTTATGATAAAATTTTAAAATGCGCATTAATTGAATTGTTTAAGGTTGCAACCTTATAGACACCGCACCCTTTTAAAGTCATTGGTAACTTATATAATAGACCATGTCATGTTTGGGAAAGTCAAAGGCCATATAATTTCACGCGTATAATGTTGGATTCGTGACCGTTATATATCTATGCCATGTAGGCTACGAACTGTATTGTCATCATCCATCAATGAGCGGCAAAGCAATGGAAGATTATAACCATGCACCATCTTTTTTGCATCCACCCTTAAGAAAAAAGATTACACTTTTTTGACAATACCCCTTTCTACATAGGGAAAGGTTTTTATATTTTCCCTACAACACAAAAGATCTATGCTTCTCCTATCATCCAGTCGTCCAATTTTGATCGAGAGAGTCACTTACTGTTGACCTTAGATCCGACGTCTCAAAGTATTTTATTTTTAGCTTTTTTTATACAAATTGTATGAATATGAAATTTAGTACGAGTCATCTTCTTATTGGGGCGCACCTATAAAAAAATATTAAAAATAAATTTTTGATAAAATATAATGACCAAAATATCCCTTGAAATTTTTAGAGGTATTTTGGTCATTTTATTTTATTAAAAATATTTTTTATATACATTTTTCGCTAGTGCGAGTTTAATTGAGGATTGGACACCCAAATTTTGGTGTCAAAATAGTTTATAAAAAAAATTAAAAACAAAATAGTGTAGAGACAAGACATTGTAATTGGGACAATCTTAACCCTCCATTCAGAATGGACGGTTGGATAAGGGGACCCATATAAGTTTTGTACTATAGGGGAAGCATAGAAAGCTTGCCCTTCTAAATATACATGTCCCTTGGTTTTCCATCTCTATCGACATACATTGTGATGGATAGGCACACATTAATGAACTGTGTGTTGGATTGGTTGTGTCGAACAAGTCCCCCAATCATATTTAAAGTCAGTCCAGCACATATTATATCGAATTGGTTTCATTGTTTATAATGATGTAGGTCAGTCATAATGTGTGTTATACTGCCTCCAATAGGAATAAGGTGGTGTCGAACTGACTTTAATATGGACAAGTTAGTCTCCCAAATATTGAACTAGGCTAACTTCAATAAAGACAAAAAGAAAAAAATACATGCTTAATAAAAGCTATTTTTTTCAAAAAAACTAATTTTTGGAAAAATTTATCTGTACCTCCATATTTTACGCCTATTTTTCAAAAAACCCAAAGATTTTGAATATTTTTTACAGCATAAGGTCTTTAACTTTTCTATCTTCCAACCGCCTGAACTCCTTTGACAGGATACTATTGACGTAAATAATTTGTGAAATGACTCCTACTTACTTAACCTCTCCATCTCTTTCTCCCAAAACTCCATCTCTACGTCACCTCTCTCTCTCAAACACCAGCTTCTAGATTGAAATGTTGGGGGCGCTAAAATTGGTGCACTAGCTTGTAGACCTGAGAAAGCTTGCATCGATGGCTGAAAAAGTGGTGCATTAGATTGAAGAGTAGGGTTTTGAAACGATGGAGGTGGTGGGTTCACTAGTCTTTGAGCCATGAAGCTTGATAGACCTTGAGGTGGCTGAAAAACTGGTGCATTAGATTGAAGAGTACGGTTTTGAAACGATGGAGGTGGTGGGTTCACTAGTCTTTGAGCCATGAAGCTTGATAGACCTTGAGGTGGAGGGCCCAAAGGATCAAAAGGCATCTGAGATTGAGGGAGAAGGAGAATTGAAGGTTGAAATCAGGGATCAGTCATGGTGGGCAGGCCAGGAGGGTGGGTCAAAAGCTTGGGCCATGGCTGGTCGACCCAAGAAAGGAGATCGATTGAGCACTGAATATGGAGAAACAAATGGTGGGTTTTGTTGACAAGGCTTATTAAAGCTCGGTGGTGGAGCTTTTCCATGGAAAAAAGGTTCTAAACCTGTAGAAGATGGTGTAATAACCGGAAGGGGGCAACAGGAAGAGGTCGATTAAAGCCTGAAACTAAAGAAACGAATTGTGGGTCTTGTCCAAAGACCTCAAGTTCATGATTTCCATGAAAAGAAGGCTCCGAAACAGTTGCAAAGGAAGTGTGAATTTGATATAGAGCCATGATTGGAGGTCGACTGAGCACTGAATTTGGACAAATAAATTGTGGGTTTTGCAGAGGGATGCCATTAAAGCTTGGAGGAGGAGGAGCTCGATTGAGCGGAGGCTCTAATGAAGCAGGATTTGTAGAAGAAATTGGAGGAGAAGAAAAGGGAAAGGCATGTCTTGTCTTATGTGAATCTAGGTTTCTCATATCCGATTGGAATGCAGAATTTGGCTCTCAAATCTTTAGAAAGGGAGAAGGGTTTCTGCAACTTACTTTGGCTATTAGAGAGAGAGAGTTTAGAGAGATAGATGAAGATGCTTGGGTATTTGAGAGAGAGAGGGGCGAGAGAGAGAGAGAGAACTCTTAGATGTTAATTGGTAAGTGGGAGTCATTTTACAAATTAAATTGTTCAGATAGATCGTACACGGAGGTTAGAGGATAGAAAATACAGAGACCTCATAAGACAAAAAATAATTTAAATCTATCGATCTCTAGAGAAATAGGTCGGGTACGAAGAAGTTCTCCGTTAATTTTTTACTTGGGTGTGGATGAAATATTGTTTTAATTAGGTGTGGATGGAAAAAAAGAAGTTGAGGCGTGGTATGAGAAATTATTGCGGTGTGCATGACTAGAAAGTTGAGTCAAGGGTTGTATATGTAATTTTTTATAATTTGTTTTTACTATTTGAGGAAAGGGCGTTGCGTACAGACGAAGAGTAAGCATCAAGTTGTGGTTTGCCTTCAAACTAATAAAGGTATAAAAGAGATTCAACATAGATACGGGATGTTCCTGCAGGTGGATTCTGTACAACGAATCTCTTGAGTAAAATAACTATTTTCTTATCGTTTTAGGCAAAATAGCTACTTTGGAGGATAACTTTTCTTCCAAATTTCTTGATTCATCTACATATGATATCACTAGGGTCATTATTTTTTAAAGAAAATTTTTTGAGTCCTTGTACACATACGGTCATCTCCTAGGTTCCTAACACTTGGGATCTAGAAATATTCACAGCATGAGCATTCTCCCATGGCGAAATTGACACATATTCAGGTATAGTACAAAACCTTTTAGCAAGACAAACCAAGATTAAGGATGGCAATAAGCTGAATAGTACAGCCGGGCTCAAAAAAACTAGGGCTTGGGTTAAGAAATGTGGCCTAGGGCTGGCCAACCATGGCCTGAGGTAGGGTAGGGCTGGGTCCGGCCTAAACAAAGTCTGGAAAAAGAGTGGCAGGAATGCAACTGCAGTTTGTATAGAGCCCGAGGCTCTAAAGAATCAGAGTAAAACGCACTTTCAAATAGTATCGATAAATATGATTTCAATCCTAAAAATCTTTGTGATACCTTTAAAATATATTTTTATTTTTAATTATAAAATTTAAAGCTTAAAAAATAGTGTAGATGATCCATTTAAGGATATTTGGGTATCAAAACAACTTCTTAAAAAAAGAAATTTTTGAGATGGGCTCTAATTTGATTGTTTAGAGCCTCGGCTTTGTGTAAACTTTTTTAGAGAGAGAGAGCGTGGAGTGATGCAGTATTTATTTATTTATTTTTGAATGTTGTGGGGAGATGCAGTATTGCAGCACTGGTCCTACATTGTTATGTTGTGTAGTGGTAAACAGAGACGTCAAAGCGAGGGAGGTGGCGTATTCGTTCATTGAAGACGTCAACCACTTAAACAACATGAAGGAAGAAGAAGAATATTGAGATTTGAAATTTGTCAAAAAAATAAAAGAATATAGAGAATTGAAAATAGAGAAAGATCGCTCAGTCCATGTTCAACCATTGACCATTTTTAATGAACCAATCTTCCTGATCCTCTTTCTCTTCTCTCACACCCTTTAGTCTCTCTCTGGAGGAGCAGCAGCAGAAGTCATGGCCACCACTGTCGAAATGGATTCAGGGGAGAAGCGTCTCTATGAGCTCGGCTACAAACAAGAGCTCAGAAGAAGAATGGTGAACTAATAGTTTCTCTCTCTCCCTCTGTCTTTCTCTCTATCTATATCTCCTATCTATCTGTTTTGAAGATGGGTCTTTATAGAAAAGAAATGAATTTGGTTAACATGGGCTTGCGGACAATCTTCGAAACAATCTTTTGCCATTATTTTCATAATGGGTCTGTACTGAAAAGAAGCAAATTTTGATTAACTTTCATGGCAGGCCCTCTCTCTCTCTCTCTCATATTTTTCTGGGAAACAACTAAATTTTGATTAACTTTCATTGCAGGCCCTCTCTCTCTCTCTCATATTTTTCTGGGAAACAACTAAATTTTGGTTAACTTTGGCTTGCAGACTCTCTTCAAAACGCTTGCCATTTCATTCTCAACGATGACACTTTTCACAGGGATTACACCCCTCTATGGTTCCAGTCTCCTCTACGCTGGACCCGCCAGCCTTGTATGGGGTTGGGTCGTGGTCTCTTTCTTCACCTTTTTTGTTGGGGTCGCCATGGCTGAGATCTGCTCCTCCTTTCCTGTGAGTTTCAGTACATTTCGACTGATATTATGTTCCTTTGCTCTAATTTTCTTTAGTATTCCCTGGATCCTACATCCATGGAACTTGCATTTCTTCAATTTATAAGGTTTTTGTAGGAAGCTTTAATGAAGCTTCAATCGTCCCCATCTATTTCAGTTTCTTTAATTGAATAATGGCGTTTGGTTCTTGTTATTTATCTTGTTAAGCTCAGCCAAATCAACTAGTAATTGATATAAAGAGTGCATAGACCAATTTCTCAATTGTAGATAACATGTAAATCTCTTATATATTGAGTGCTCTCAATTCATTCGATGTTGGTCATTCTGTGCCCTTGAGTAGCTGCAGATGTTAAAAAGCATGTGCTTGACGTGCCCAATTGGGAGAAAACTTTGAAGAAGATTTTTCTCTTTGGAAATATGATTTATATAGCTATGCAAAGGGTTTCTTCTCGGTGCCATCTTCTCACCTTCAAGAATGAGGATCTCCTAAGCTCTTTTCACAGTGTCATACAAACTATTTCTCAATGTCCTTCGGAGTGCTTTAGTTATTTTCCCAAGTTATTTGGAGTGGACAATGGACTGAAACTGAAACTACATGTAATGGTGGCATTTATTTTATGCCGTCTTGCAATTTTTGACTTTACTATTCATTTTTTCAAGGGAATTTATATCTCTATCATTTTAGCTTTCCATTTATATGAAACAAATTCAGCATTTGGTCATGATACTGCTACAGAATTCAACTCCGAAATGCTATCAAGTGTTACTTCTATTCATCTATATGATATAGACACAGTCACATACATAATTACATGCACACACACAAAGTTACACACATATGCACATGTAGATTATGTATCTATAAAGTACAGATTGATAGAAAAAATAAATAGGACATGTTAATACTATCTTATTTTTGTATGTACAATGTTTGGATTTCCTAGATATGGTTTTGTATTGACATTTATTCATGTTGGTCTGAATTGGATGTCTTGAACAGACTACTGGTTCTTTGTACTTTTGGGCTGCTCATTTAGCTGGACCGAAATGGGGTCCATTTGCATCTTGGTGTTGTGCTTGGTTGGAGACCATTGGCCTGATTGCTGGAATAGGGACACAGGTATGTTGCTCTTTTCCTTTTGGCACGGATACTATTGGCATGCTTGTTAAGGGATGACATTTATTCTTAACAAGGTAATCTTTTACACCAGAAAAATGGTATTCCTTTACGATCTAGATATTTCCCCTTTCTAATGCGATCATTGAAGTTCTCTGATAACGAATCCAAAATTTGTTCTACTGGGTTATCTTTTTCATATCACCAACCATGGTTTTGATATCATTTATGTGTAGTGAAAATGGCTAATGTTGAGTTCCGTTGCAAGTCCTTGAATGTTAATCATCTTTCTAGTCGAGCCATGGCTAAAATTCAATGGACCCTTTTATTTTTATAATTCAGTATTCCAGTCAGAGAATGGTGTGACCATGTAAAGCACTTAATTGGATGATATTCATGCTTACATGTGGCTGTGATTGTATAAAGGATTCAAGTGATTATGTTTCACTATGTTTGACTTAGATCTCCTGACCGAACAAAGTCTTTGTGGCTTTGCTTTTCTGAATGTGCTAGTGGCGAAAGCATGTACTCTGTTTCTCTTCATTTACTTCACACTGAGAAAATCTCTTCTAACTAACTCTATAATTTCTTTTCCTATTTGACAGGCTTATGCAGGCTCTCAAACATTGCAGAGTATTATCTTAATATGCAGTGGCACAAACAAAAATGGAGGTTATTTTGCTCCTCGTGGGGTATTCTTATGTATGTATATGGGGCTTACTATTATATGGGCAATACTTAATACCTTTGCTTTGGATGTCATTGCCTTCCTCGACATTATTTCCATGTGGTGGCAGGTACAACTCCAATTTTATCTAGGACATGATGTGCTTCACATGATCTTTTCTTGCATTTATAAGAGAAGGCTCCAGTAAATGCTCATAACTTGCACAAGTTTAACACCTTGCATTTGGCTTGGGTCTCTGCCCGATCTCCAGCCAAGTTGTTTCAGTAGGACTCTGTAAATGCTCATAACTAACAGCAGAGTTTTTGAAAGAATGACAAAGAATATTAAGAATTAGTAAGACTCGTTCAAGTCTTGAAAACTCAGCTTGTGCACTAGCTAGGTTCACTCAAGTGAGTCTCAATTCTCAAGTCTTATTCCTAAATTACTAAACAATGCTTTTGGGCCATGATCATGGAAGCGAGTTTCCTGAATTATATGCATTAGGCTTGAGGGTTTTCTCCCTTTCCATAGCACCGATATACTCTAGAAGAGAGATATGGAGATCGGGCAAAGATATTCTAGGTTCCTTGTGACATACTGCTAGGAAGCTAAGAAGTAAGCAGTGTAGCATACATTCTTTTGCTATTTGCAAGTTTTAAGGCCTTTTGTCAACCTTGAGCACATCCTTGAAGCTTGTAAGTTTGCGATTAATCATTTCCATGTCATTTCTTTCCTCGTTCAATAAATATTTCTTACCAAAAACCCAGGCCAGCACCATTGGCCATTTCTTGGGTCTCCTGATTTTAATTGCTACTGACAAACCACATGACCTTTTATCAATTGTCTTTTATGCATCAACTCGTTTGAGTTCTTGGACAGCCAAAAAGCTCTCATCCTTTAATTTCCTCTTTGTACTAGTTTGCATTTGATGTAAATTTGAACTGTTTTGATTTATATGTTGTTTTTTTTTTCAGTTACATCTTTTTTAGGAAAAAACAGCTACAATTTATAGAACAAAATAGTTATTTAGCATATTCCTGCGTGCTTTATTGCATTCTGCTATTCTTTAATCTTGCCTTCTTCATCTTCCGCTGTTTTTCGCATGTGGGTTGAATTATTGAAGTTTTGTTGTGGTTTCATATGGTGTTCAGGTTATTGGAGGCTCGGTTATTGTCATAATGCTTCCTCTAGTAGCAAATACTACTCAGACTGCTTCCTATGTATTCACATATTTTAAGACATCACCAGAGTCAACTGGAATAAGAAGCAAACCATATGCTGTCATTCTATCTTTTCTTGTCAGTCAATACTCCCTTTATGGCTATGATGCAGCTGCACATCTCACTGAGGAAACAATAGGTGCAGACAGAAATGGTCCAATAGCAATTCTTTCCAGTATTGCGATGATCTCAGTGTTTGGGTGGGCATATATTTTAGCTCTTACCTTTAGTATTCAGGTATTCTTTTAATAATAATTGGATATTTTTCCCCTACATTCAGATTTCGATTAACGGTATTCTTTATGTAAACTGTTGCAGGAATTTACTAATTAATATTGCCTTGGTTTTCCCGTTTCAAACAGGACCCCAGCTACTTGTATGATACAGCCAATGAAACAGCTGGTGCATTTGTACCAGCACAAATATTATATGATGCATTTTATGGGAGATTTCATAATTCAAGTGGGGCCATAGTGTTATTGTTCGTGATCTGGGGTTCGTTTTTCTTTGGCGGCCTTTCAATCACGACCAGTGCAGCCCGAGTGGTAAGCAGAAAAAACCACCTCCTTAAGTCTGGCTTGACCCCATGAGTAAATAGCTTAGAAACCAGTGCCTGTATAAAATCACCAAGGTATTAATAAAACTCCAAAAATGTATAAAATGCACCGTGTTCCTGGCTGAGCTTGGTAGAGATTGACTCTACCTGGAGAATACCTTGATAGGACCAACTACTGTCTTTCTGCACTGTATGTCAGCAGAAATGGACGGTGTTTGCCCTTTAGACTACCGTCATACTCCACTGGTCTATGGCAATCCTTCCCAATTAAGATTGCCTTTATTTTTGTCTTCATAGGCATCCATCTGCACTGTCATTCTGCACTGTATGTCAGCAGAAATGGATGGTGTTTGCGCTTTAGACTACCATCACACTCCACTGGCCTATGGCAATCCTTCCCAATTGAGATGCCTCTATTTTTGTCTTCATAGGCTTCCATTCTCCTGCTTTTATCATCATAAAACTCTTATGTGCCACAGGTCTACGCTCTCTCTAGGGATGGTGGAATTCCATTATCTTCTGTGTGGCGCAGGTTACACCCAAAATACAAGGTCCCGACTAACGCAGTTTGGTTATGTGCGGCCTTCTGCATATTGCTTGGACTTCCAATATTGAAAGTTAATGTGGTCTTCACTGCCATAACTTCTATTTGTACAATTGGTTGGGTTGGGGGTTATGCTATTCCCATCTTTGCCAGGATGGTCATGGAAGAAAAAAATTTCAAAGCTGGTCCCTTTTATTTGGGCCGTGCAAGGAGGCCCGTTTGCTTGATAGCATTCCTTTGGATCTGCTACACATGCTCAATTTTCTTGTTACCGACTTTGTATCCTCTCAAGTGGGACAATTTCAACTATGCACCAATTGCTTTGGGTGTGGTTTTGGGGATCGTACTGCTTTGGTGGTTGTTGGATGCAAGAAAATGGTTCAAGGGACCCGTCAGGAATGTTGAAATCCAGAACGGAAAAGTTCTGGATTTGTAATTGACACAAAGCTGCTTCTACTGATTGAGAAAGGACTATTCCCTTTCTAGCTGGGTAAGTGTGGGGATCTAATGCATTTCTTATGTATCTAATGCATTTCTTACAATGTATGGTTAAGATTAAAATTTCAGCTCCAATCTATATAACTTAAGAAATAGCCTCAAGAAAAAATCAATTTTCAACCACACAAGTATGCCAGAAAAGATAAATACATAACGATATCAAAAATTCATCATGAAGATCTTATAAAAGACAGATGAACGAAGAGAGAGTGGGAGAGAGTGAAGACAAACTTATAGCACACCAACATTTATAAATTCACTAATAATTGCGACGTCTATGCAGCCCATATTTGCGTTGCAATTTCGTCCCTTAATTGTACCCAAAAATTATAGTCAGCTCTACTTTGGGAATTCAGCTACTCAAGTTCCTTCCTTTCTTCATCCTCTTCAATGTCTTCTTCTTCCTCTCTTGGTTTTATCTCGATATCTATTCTCACTTGCCTAAGAACTCTACGTTGAAAACATATTTCATCGACAGAGCTCTGTGCTCTCCTCAATCTAATATAGTTGTGCAAAATACAGGTGGCATTTACAATATCTTGACCTGTATTGCAATTGGGTATTGAACTTGGGACTTTAAGATGGGAGACCTCGCTTTCCAAATTCCGAAGGTGCGCTCCAGGACATTTTTAAATGATGAATGCCGATGATTATATAGCTCTTGTGGCGTCCTTGGATTTCTCCTTCTCTAGGTCTCACTAAGGTGATACTTTGGCTACCGATCTGGGGAAATGAATCCACATGTAGTGGGGTAACTTGCATCCACAATGTAATACTTTCTTACACCAAATATGGACAACATATCAGTATCTATCATTCGCAACTTGTAATGAAGAATAACTCAAACAGTATTACCTTGAGGCACTGGTAATAGATGCATATCCCTCTCAATTGCATAACATAGAATTCTAGAGTCCGCCGCAAAACCTTTCTAACCCACTAGCACATATGTGAAATACATGTCAAGTTAACTGTAGCCAAAATATTATGAGATAGCTCCCTCTTCCGATTACGATATCATTTTTGCTGGGAAGTGGGAACCCAAGCAGGAATGTGGGTCCCATCCAGCTCTCCAACATAATCCTAAGAAGACATGCCCTTGTAAGCAATGATAAAGAATACCATCATCATTTTTTAAATATAAGATGATCTACACAATGTTCACCTTGAAAATTGGGAAGAATTTCTTCTTCTTTCTGATTGCGTCATGTGTTTCACTTGGGGCAAGGATGATAAACTATGGGGCCAGTCCCAATATTGTATTTAGGACTTTGTTGACGTAATAACTAATAGTCTGTTGAAATTGAATTTGCATCACCCTAGTACACTCATTATGTGCAACTGTGTACAGGAATATGGCAACTTGTTCCTCTACCATCATGTACTGTGAATTATGAAGTGGATTGCCTTATTTTGAAATTCTACACAAGCCTAGAAAGGCATTCATATCCATCCGCAACAAATTGAAACAATTGTACTGATGGGACTCAAGTAAATATAAAATAAATACAGCATCAGTGAAATAACAAGTGTGAACTAGATTCCTTGGTATCAAGAATTGGTAATAATATCATACACAACACAAGGTGGCTACATATGCAACATAATATCTGATATAGATGTCATATAGATCAGATGGATCCATATTGACGGTCAAATCCTTAACGGAACCATTCAACAAATACTCCAAAACGACAATAGGGAATTATAAATCGAGCACATAATATCCAATCAACCATCATCCACATAAAAATTCACAAATAGAAGGAAATTAAAAATCAATCACATAAACACCTACATTAACCACCATCCACATAAATATCAACAATTTCACAAATAGAAGGAAAAAATACAGTCATCCATACAATCAACCACAAAGTCAAGAGGAAACTATAAACCAACTACATAAGACTTGCAAACCAACCATCTTCTACATACAAGTTATGAAAGACATTTAAAGTTCCCTCCCTAATATAACAGGGATTCAAGAGCCAGAGTTCAAAAAACAAGCAACCTATGAAACTAATCATGGGGGACATGCGTTTGGAACCACATTTTACAATACTACGGATCGATGGATAAAAAAATTCAAGCGTTCATAGGATCTACAAACAAGTCCACAGCCTTGATGTGATCCATGCCATCATCCTTATAAACATCAGCAACTGCTTCCATGCATCGTGTCTGGAAGAGGAATAAATGATCCAACATCCGATCCACTGAAGACGATAGTGAACCAACAGCAGCAACCCATTGATGACCAACTGAAATGGCATCTTGCCTTTGAGCGGACCCCCTTGCTCTTGAAGATTGACCTTCATTCCTCTTCCTTTTAGAAGTGCAAACACTTCTTGTGGAAGCATATGACATTTTAATCGCTAAAAGGTCTAGAAAACCATGAAACTCATGAGCTAAAAGACACCTAACTTCCTAGCTTCCAGAAAGCATGACAAAATACCATATAGACAAAATACCATATATGAACATATATGGAGAACAATCTAACTCAGTGTGTATATGAACATATATGGAGAACAAGCTAACTTAGCACAATTCACCTAAAAGTGAGAGGTATCATATAGTCAACAAGAGAAAAAAAACCAACAAAAAAAATGGAAAATATAGCATATACACAACCTGCAAATGCAAAAAAAATTGTTTTACAGATAAGCAAACGCAAAAACAAAGATAATATTTTACCCACTGAAGGGAACTTGAAACTATGGTTCAGAACTAGAGGGATATACTATTAGAGCCAGAAACAAATAACTTGCACTCACTGAAGAACACTTGAAAGTATAGTTCAGAAGTAGGCGAAAACAAAAGCCAAAAAAAAACAGATCCACAGATTTTTAGATAGAGAATAAGAACTGCATCTAAAAAAGGATCACCGAGAGAAAGAATAACAAGAGATCATAAATATAGAGAGAGATATAAAATGAATTTCTCCACCTATTGAAGAGACATTTTCTCTAAAGCCAATCTATGACCAAGTAGAAGCATTTCATAAGCAAGGATGTTACAAATTGAGTGCATTTCATAAGCAAGGATGTTACAAGTAATGTGCACTAATAAACAAGGATGTTACAGATTCAAAGCATTTCGTAAGCACATACACAAAATTACATATTCAGAACATTTCATAAGCAAGGATGTTACAAGTGATGTGCACTAATAAACTACTTCGAATTAAAACAAGTTATGCACTGAAGTCCATTTGATTCTCAGAAAGATATTCACTTTCTACACTAGGCAAATTAACTGCATTTGAAACCTCTATTTTGAATCAAGCAATTTGCACATTCTATAAAATATTAATAGAGATAGAAGAACTTGGCAATGGATCACTAGTCACGAGTTTCACAATTTCATTAGCAAGGATGCTACAGATTCAGAGAATTTCATAAGCACATAAGCTTGTGAACTTTGGTGATTTCACATGAAATATAGTCCCGCAAGTGATATAACGCAGAGGCACTAGTTATAATTCAGCAACCTAGTAAAAAAACACACTCTTTGCACCAAGATAAAGAGCAGCTCCATTTCAATCCTTTTCATTCTTCCTCTCAATTTCAAAGAACAAACAGAAGTGAACTTTTAACTACCAAAAAAATCACATTTTACATTTCGACTTTTGCAAAGATTCATCATCCTTGTACTCGAAGACCACAGAAGTAGCGATAATGGCAGCTTCTTATTCTAACCCAAAGAAAAAGAAATTTTTTTTTTATTGAGCATTCCTCTCACAATTTCTTCGATTTATTATACAGAGATGCATAGAGATTTAGAAATTTACATACATATAAGCCACTAATTCTTGACGGAAGCACTTCTTCTGAGAATTAATAAATTTCCTTGATATGCTCAAGAATCTATACAAAAATACCACATAACAAAAAAATCACTAGAAAATTCCTACAAAAAACACCAGAAAACATAAAATCAAAAGTATACCTGATGCTTGAGCATTTGGTCGATTGGATACTTTCTGGTTTAATCAAACTCAAATTTCTTCAATATTAGCACTTTGAGAGACAGGTTCCTTCAAGGGATTAGAATCCGAGGTTTTTTGTTTTGGGAGTTTTTCTTTTTTCTTTTTTTTCTCCAAAGGGATTTTGTAGTGGGAGAGAGAGAACTTAGGCTCTAAATTAAGAGCAGAGGAAAAAACAGAGAGAGCTTGGCCTCTTCTCCATGCATCTAACATCATCAATGTTGATTTACCCCCAAAAACCTGAGACTCCTGCTGTAACCTCTAAGCCATTATATTCAACCAAATTCTGATTTATCTGCCTTCACCCTGGGATTTTTTTGTTCATTTTCTCTTTTATTTCGTCCACTTCCAGGTGGATGTTGCTTGTTCATTTTCTCTGTTATTTCGAACTTGAGCACACAGTACAAATTTTCGAGCTTCAATGGAGATGGCCTATGAGGTCCAAAACACATGCCAAGTACAATCCGTCTTACCTTACCTTATCCTCCTTTTTTTTTTTTTTTTTTTTTTTTTTTTTTTTTTTTTTTTTTTTTTTT